CGCCACCACCGCCCGGCACCCACTGGTTTTTTTCATGTGCTAGGTGGGCCCGATCTTTTGGGTTGTGTGTGGGGGTAGGGTGGGGAGAGAGATGATTACCAATCAAGCTCTGATTGGGGGTTTTGAGCAATTACTTAAAAGATGGAATACAAATTGCTAATTAATGACATCTTAAAACCTTGGACCGAGGGCTGGTGTGGAGGGTGTGGTGGGCTCTCGGGGGAGGGAGCTTTGTGCATACAGCTCCAACTGCTCCAAGGCCCTCTAGCACAGAGTGTGGGATTCCCAAGGATTTGTAGGCTTTCCTTGGGCCCTGGGAATAGAGAGCTCTCCCGGGCTGACATCACTGTCAGCTTGTAGGAACAAGAGTGGAAATTCCAGCACTTAGCTCTGAAAAGCGAGGGATTAAGTAGAGGGTTGGAAGGCCTGGAAAGGGTCCTGGGGGCTGGGGGATGTCTCTTGTTGTGTGGTCACACTCCCTTGTTTGCCCTTGTGATCAGAACAGAGAGGCCTCTGGGAAAGTCAACAGGTAGAGGAAGAAAAGTCAGCGAGAGAGATGGAGAGGGAGAGCTTCCTGTCACAGGGGGTGTGCAAGGGAGAGTCTTCAGCTTGAGAGATATGGTCAGGGGGAAGAGGGACAGGAGCCAACCGAGAATGGGAGGGATGGTCTCAGCAGCCCAAAGCTCTCTCTTCCCCGGCCTTAGGGACCCGCTTTGCCTGTATCCTGGGCCCATGTGTCTGTACTTCAGAACCAGCGCCAGACTCAGAACTCTCCAGGGCTTGCGCAGACTTCTACGAGCTTGGAATTTGTTTTGAGTATGGCTTGAAATAACAGGCCTATTTGGAGGACATTCCTCGCTTGAGATGTGAAATTGGGTAATTTTTCAAATTCATATGGAAAATTTCTGTGGCCAAGGGGGTGACAGGGGACACGAAGTGGGCCCAAGCGCCTGCTGGGCTTTGACTAGAGAGGGCAGACCGGGACCAGAGCAGGGATGGCGGTGAAGCAGGGTGTGATAGGGTGACCAGCGGTAGAGGATGCCCTAAGGACAGCGGGAAGGAAGAGCTCCCTGGTTGGTAAGGTCAGTGAGGGTTCCTAGCGCAAGAAGTATCTGAGGGTTCAGGCCATCAGATGGGACGGTGGGCAGCAGACGGCATTGTGGGGCTCCCAGCACCCTGCTCCTGAGGAGTTAGGGTTTTAGGCGGTAGCCGGGAAGACAGAAGGCTGTAAGCAGCTTGTTGAGACGGTGCCTGTGACTGTGCTTGGTGCCAGCCTCCTCACAGATACCCATTGACTTCTCACAATACCCTGCAGAGACACCGCTGCTGGCCGCCCCACCCTGCCCTATTTCTGGGTGGGGGAAATGGAGGCCCAGAGGGGTAGAGTCACTTAACAGTGCCAGGGTTTGATCTGTATGTGTGCCGCCACCAAGTTGTTGTGCTCAGGGTCGTTTTGGCCAAAGATGGTGGGCAGGAGTGACAGGGTTGAGACTAGAAAACTCATTGATCATGACCCAGCGGAGCCGACCTGGTCAGCTCAGGCAGACTCAGGCTGAGGCTGATGGCCGGAGAGGAGCTGCAGGATCTTGTAGCTGCCTTGAGGATTGGTCCAGGTTTGGGGAAGGACCTCAGCAAAATCGCTGCTTTTGAATCCTGGGAAAGCTCCCCAGGGGCAGATGCCATAGGCTGGTCCTGTAGGGTTTTTTTGAGGTCAAAGACAGCAGTAGACCCTGGGCATTTAACCTGGGAAGAAACTGCCTGAGGACAAGGGGAGGACCTCCTTGCTAAGTGCAGGAAGAGTCTGGTGAGGTTGCGGGAGAATGTAACCACAGGGTCAGGTTTGGGTGACTGCTCTCAGTTCCCTTTTTGCCTGAGAACTCAGAAGTGGGGGAGCGCTCAGTCCACTTCCAGCCCCACTGTTCTCATAGCTCTTGAAGTGGTGTTTCCTGTGGGCCTCAGGAAGTCCTAATACCCAGTGGCCTGCCCGGCTCCTCCTCGAGTCCCTGAGCTCTGAGGACACCCCCCCTCCCAGCACAGCCTCCTGCCAGTAATACTGATTTTCTTTTCTTTCTTTCTTTTAAAAAATGTTTTCTGATCTTTGTTTTTATTTTATGTGTCTGAGTGTTCTGCCTGCATGTATGACTGGACATCATGTGTGTGTTGGATCTTCTGGGATGAGAGTTACAGACCGTTACCTCTGGAGCAAACCAGAGCCTGGCCTGCAGGAGTTGGTTCTCTTCTTCTTCTAGCACACAGTAGGTAAAGCTGGGTGTCTCTGTGAGTTCAAGGTCAACCTGGTTTTCATGGTGAGTTCCAGAACTAAGTCCTTCAAGTTGTCCCTGGCCTGCACGCATGCCACAAACACACTCACTCTCATACATTCTAAATGTAAAAACAAACAAACAAACCCCAGACTCCTATTTTGGAAAAGATGGTTGATACAAAGCACCCAGCAGACTTCTAGAACCCAGCAGGCAGGAGCCTGTTTAAAGTAGCAGGCTGAGGAGGAGACCGAGTCCTAGGGCGGTGGGACAGTTCATGACCTGTGGTAGCTGTGGCTGTATCTTGAAAACTGGACAGGATTTCCTCCCGTTGTTTATACCTCTGCTTTCTGCCTGCCTTCCTGTCATCCAGGTTAAGGGACTCAAGTCCCACAGGCTCAGTCCCTGGTGACCATACTGAGTAGTGTCTAAAGCTTGCTCTGGGTGGCTTGGGCAGGTGCCCCGACGGCTGCTTTCATGACCCATCTCTTATGACCCGGGCTGTGGGCTTGGAGCTTCCAGGAGGGATGGAGGAATGGATGGTGCCAGGGAGAGGTGATGGGAACACCTTAAGGGGACTTAACCTTAAGGGAGTCGTGAGGTCCAGATCAAGTCAAGGCTAAAAGCAAGACCGGGTGGCAGACAGGAGGTCCCCGCTGTCACTTCTGTTTATGGAACCTGGGCAAGGGGTTTAGTTCTTCATCTGTGCAAAGGGACTGCAATTGTCCTTACCTTGAAGCATTTTAACTCAGACAGTGCGGGGTCAGTTTTGGTTACTTATGATTATTGAGACTGGCGTTGTTATTTATCTATTTATTTATTCATTCATCCATTTATTTATTTTTTGGGTTTTTTGAGACTGTTTCTCTGTGTAATAGTCCTGGCTGTTCTGGAACTCACTCTGTAGACCAGGCTGGCCTCCAGCTCACATAGATTCACCTGCCTCTGCCTTCTATGTGCTGGGATTAAAGGCGTGCACCACTGCCACCACCACCACCACCACCACCACTGATTTTTTACCTTTTTTGAGACAGGGTTTCTTTGTGTAGCCCTGGCTGTCCTGGAACTCACTCTGTAGACCAGGCTGGCTTCAAACTCAGAGATCTGCCTGTCTCTGCCTCCAGTGCTGGGATTAAAGGTGTGCGCCACCACTGCCTGGTGATAGTTATTGTTGTTGGTGAGACAGGGTCTTACTGCATTGCCTGGCTGGCCTATAACTCCTTTTGTAGGCCATGCTGGCTTCCCGCTCTGCCTCCCACGTCCTGGGTTAAAGATGTGCACCACCAAGCCTAGCTCGATGCTTATTCTTGACTGAGTGCTCCCTTCATTCTTATGACAGCAGTGGGGAGTGGAGTTAGTATCACCTTTTTTGGGGGGGCGGTTTCAAGACAGGGTTTCTCTGTATAGTTTTGGTGCCTGTCCTGGATCTTGCTCTGTAGACCAGGCTGGCCTTGAGCTGCTGGACCCCAACCTGGCTCTGCCTTCTGAGTGCTGTGTGCCACCGCCACCTGGCTAGTATCTCCTCCTTCTCTTCCTCCTCCTCTTCCTCCTCCTCCTCCTCCTCCTCCTCCTCCTCCTCCTCCTCCTCCTCCTCCTCCTCCTCCTCCTCCTTCTTCGGTTTTTCGAGACAGGGTTTCTCTGTGTAGCTTTGCGCCTTTCCTGGAACTCACTTGGTAGCCCAGACTGGCCTCGAACTCACAGAGATCCTTCTGGCTCTGCCGCCCGAGTGCTGGGATTAAAGGTGTGTGCCACCGCCACCTGGCTAGTATCAC